ACATCAAATTCCATTTCCTTCATTAACCTATCTGATGCTTTCGTCATTGCAGTTGCCACTGCCTGTTTTGCAACCTTCTTAGCCTTCCTATACTCAAACTCCGCTTCCTCCGTCATGTCCCTTCTCCATACCCTAAACCTCTCCTTCTTGACCTCCAAAACCCTTCTTATATCTTCATCCCACCACCACGTCTCCCCATGCCTACACTTTCCTTTCGTCCATCCACATACTTTATCAGCCGTAGCCAACACACAGTCCCTGTATCTTTCCCAAACATCTCCATCCTTACCACTCTCCCAATTTTCAGCCACCTTCACTTCAAATGCCTTTCTCACCTCTGCATCCTGCAACTTGCATGTCTTTCTCTTTGCCACAAACTTATCCTTCTTCCACCTCCCTATTTCTTTTGATGTCAGATCCATCACAACCATACTATGCTGCAGCATACCAGGTATCGCCTTCACATTCTTTACATACTTCCTATGTTTGGCCCTTACCAATATAAAGTCTATCATCGACCTATGCTCCCCTGACCTATATGTAATCAATCGCGCTGGTTCCCTTGTAAACCAGGTATTCCTCACCACCATGCTATGTGCATCCGCCAACTCCAACACTCTACGCTCTTCCTCATTCCGTATACCATATCCCCATCCCCCATGTGCATCTTCATATCCGTCTGCATCCGCCCCCACATGACCATTCAAATCACCCAACAACACCACAAACTCATCCAACCCCGCTTGCCCAATCTCGTCAGAAACATCATCATAAAACCTATCCTTGTCCTCTTCCTTCCTACTTTGTTGCGGAGCATATCCTGATATCACCCTCACTATTACTTTTCCAAACACCATCACCACCACCATTGCTTCTCCGCCTCACTTCCAACACCTTCTCCACCAACTCTTCTCTTACCATCACACCAACTCCTCCCGTACCATCATCCCCCTTCCACCACAACTTATATCTTCCACCTTTAGCTCCCACAAACCTTGTACCCTCACCCTTCCATCTGATCTCCTGTAGTGCAGCCACGTCAACCATTCTCCTCTGCAGCTCCTCCACCACTTCAAAACTTCTTCCTGTCAACGTGCCTACATTCCAGGTACCAAACCTCCAACCCCTTGGTCTACAAGTAGTCCTTCCATCTATAGTGCCTTGCACCGCCACACTATAGAGTAGGGTGACAGTAGCCAAACCATCCTTTCGTCCATCCACATACTTTATCTGCCGTAGCCAACACACAGTCCCTGTATCTCTCCCAAACATCTCCATCCTTACCACTCTCCCAATTTTCAGCCACCTTCATTTCAAATGCCTTCCTCACCTCTGCATCCTGCAACTTGCATGTCTTTCTCTTTGCCACAAACTTATCCTTCTTCCTCCTCCCCATTTCTTTTGATGTCACATCCATCACAACCATACTATGCTGCAGCATACCAGGTATATATTATATATTTAACATATTGATAAAATTAACTTAAAATTATTTACATAGATATATATTAGAACTAAACAAAATAAATTAAAATTTTAAAATTGCTGAAAAAACGGTCATAAAGTAAATCAACAAATAAAAAACAAAAATCAGCCATATCATCATACTACAATATTCATGTTTCCAAGTTTATATTATTATCATTGTTATTGTTATTATTATTACTATTGTTGTCGTTGCTGTTGTTATAGTTGTTATTATCATTATTATTACTATTGTTGTTGTTATTGTTGCTGCTGCTGTTGTTATTGTTTTTGTTATTGACAATGATGATGTTGTTGTTGTTAACATTAGTATTGGGGGATTCAATTTCTGTCGAGTTTTCTGTTTAATTTGTTGCAGTTGAAAATATGAACGTCGTTGAAGAGAAAAATATTTATGTCGTTTTTAATGTCAATATTGTCCCATTCGTTTTTAATTCGATCAATGTTAGATTGAATTTCAAACATTAAATTTCGTTTGTTGGTGAGTTCGCGACGAAGATGGAGCAATCGTTGTTCACTTTCTTCTTCCTTAGTCATATTTCGATGGTTGGTCCTAGATAATCTTGTGAAATTAGGATTTAGACCATATTCGATACAGTTTTTAAGAAAATCAACCGCGTTAATACAATTATTATATTTATACATTCATTTTTCAAGTTTTCTAATTAAAATTTTATTATAGATATTTAATTTATTAAGTAAAAAACTAAAATTATTATTGTTCATGTTTATTAAAATAAATAATTGCAGAAAGCTTTTTCGATATAAAATATATCATCGTCAGTGCAAAATATTTTAAATAATAACAAAAATTACCGTTTATAAACAAATGACGTCATACCGTATAACTTAATTTTAAGCGCGAAACATTTTTGAATATAATATTATTAATTATTATATACTATATATTTAACATATTTATAAAATTAACTTAAAATTATTTACATAGATATATATTAGAATTAAACAAAATAAATTAAAATTTTAAAATTGCTGAAAGAACGACCATAAAGTAAATCAACAAATTAAAAACAAAAATCAGCCATATCATCATACTACAATATTCATGTTTCCAAGTTTATATTATTATCATTGTTATTGTTATTATTATTACTATTGTTGTTGTAGATGTTGTTGTTGCTGTTGTTATTGTTGTTATTATCATTATTATTAATATTGTTATTACTATATATATATATATATATATATATATATATATATATAAATATAAATATATATATATATATATATATATATATATATATATATATTTGTGTTTCAATAATTACAAACGACATTCTGATAAAAATGTAAAAGAGTAGATTACTTAATAATTATGATTCCATTTTTGGTTTTTTAGGATTTGTAATAAGATTGTGAGTTTACATGCACTAAAATATTTAAAATATGCTCTCGTTTTTACAATTGTCACTGGTAATCATTACAAGAAAACCATATTTTCTTTTCGATTTTCATATCATTTTTTTGATTTCTTTGTTTTGATTTGATGAAATAAAAAATGTCAAATGTCAGATTATACACAATGTGTGTTGCTTTCTAACTCATTGGCATCTTATATATATCCTTTGATTTTGTCGCCTACACGTGTCTCTGATAGTTCAACTACTTTGATATTTTTAGTAACACTTCTTTACCAAATAATTCTGCGATACTCTTATCGGATATGTTGGATCATTATCCTATTTTCTCTTTTTTTAATCATTCAAATCTGCGCACACAATCACCTACTTATTTTTATAGTCGTAAATTCTCTTTCTCTACGTTTAATTATATTAACACTGATCTATTTAATTCCAATTTTTGTTCTAGTTTCTAAAATTTGGTTTAAAATACTGCCTTTACCTATCACCACGATTTTTCAACCAAGTCGATTTAAATATTGTTGCAAATCCTTTCTTTTGTCTGTTAAACATGATATTATTAATTAGAATAATAAACATTATCGTTCATTTTATAAATTTACCATTATTTAATTTCAACTTCCTAGTAGCTTTAATATTTTTTAATTTATATATTTTCATTTAAACGTATTATTTTCTGTTTAACGGTGGTCTATGATAAGAATTTATATATATAATTTTTTTCCATATATATATATATATATATATATATATATATATACAATATCCTATAAATTCTAGCGAATGTTTGGCGTTAATATGTTTGTAGTTCGTTTTTTCAATTTTTCTCACTAAAGTTTTTTGGTGAACGTTTAGTTTATTAAAATTCAAAATAAACTTATTTTCCGAATTCATGCTGCAAATAAGGCCATATTTCAATTCCGAATGAATTATCATCAGTGCTTTTTGATGTTTATATAGGGAAATATTGACTTTGTCAAAATGAACATAGATGGAAATTGATTTTGTCAAAATGAACTTAGATGGAAATTAGGTGTCAGGTTTCTTTATTGGCTGGTCATCTTCTTTGGTCTCTTTTTCTTCATCGATAGCATCATATTCTTCTTTGTCACTATTTGCAATGCTAATTTTTATTACTTCTTTGTTTTCATTCTTGGTTAAGCGCCGGGTTGGAAGTGAGGTTGTCATTTTTTGTTGTATATTTATTTTTGGTTTATTAATGTCAATTAGGACCGCTTCTGCAATTTTAAGATGCGTGTAGTTGCTGTTCAGGTTTATTACTTTGGTGTTGCTGTCGAGGATTTCACGGCTAATAGTGATTGTGTGTGTTGAGTCCAAATGAGATTTGATAGCACCACTCTGTTTATGCATCGTAAGCCTTCTAGTCAGTGAGGTAGTAATAATACAGCACAGAAAATGTAACACCCTAATAGTTTTAATTTTGTTGATATTCTGATTTTACTTTTGGTGTGGATTTTTTTCATTTTAGAATATGCATCTTTCGCCGTAGCTATTCTTTTTTTGATATCCATATCACATTGACAATCTGAGGTGTAATCAGACCTCTAGGATAATTGAAGCTGTTGATTTGTTTAACCTCTTTATCATTAATGATTATGGTTTTGTTTTTATTGATAACTATCTTGTTACCAGCTTTCATCGCTGCTCTCCGTTATCATTAGAGGTGTTTTATAACTCACGTGTTTTTTCCATCGATGTCCAAATTTTCCAATATTTCAATAAACTCCACGTGATTAACGCTATTAAAAGCTTTGGAGTAATGGACAAAGCATATAAACAAGTCTTTCTTCATTACAATCGCTCGTTCACCGATCATCTGTAGCATAAAGATAGCATTTCTTGTGCTACAATCCTCTACAAAACCACATTGGACATTTGAAATTTCAGATCTAATTTTGCTTCGTGCTCTCATCATCAGAATTTTCAAGAGAAGTTTTGTAAGACGACTCATCAGGCTGATTGTTCGATGTAGTTCACATTCCATTGCATTAGGTTTTTTAGGCAATGCAATAAATATTGACTTAGATAGATCTTCAGGAATTTTGCCGCTGTTATAAATCTCATTTTTAAAACTTTCAAAATTTTTGACACACTTTTTTAATGACAAATTCATCAAAGGTATTTAATTTCTTTAACAACTATCTCCTCTGGACTTAGCGCTTTATTTGATTTCATTTTGGAAAGGGGGATACGAACTTCAGATCTAAGTATTTTTGGTCCTTCTACATCTTTTTTAATAAAAGGCATTTCACCACAGATATCATCAGAAAGATCGTTAATGTATTCGGTCCATCTCTCAAGTACTTTTTCTTTCTCTAAGATTATTTCACCGGATTTAGCTTTTATGCATCCAGAAACGGTACAAACTCTTTTCCTGTGATATTTTTTGATGATTTTATGCATTGCATTTGTATTACTTTTCAATAATATCGCACTTGTAATTTAACCATTTCTTTTTTGCCTCTAAGCACATTTTTTTATTGTTTTGTCCAGCTCTTTGTATCAGGATTGCAACTTTTTACTTTTCTTCGCTCATCTATCAGAAATACGATGTCATCTGTTATCCATTTCTGACCTCTTCTTTGGTCCTTTCCTTGCTTATTTTGTGAAGGCATCTCTAAATATTTAATATTTAGATTTATTTACGTCTTCCGTCAATAACTGAAAACGATTCCGTATTTCAACGTTATACTTGACCTTGATCTCATCATTTTGTGACAGACTGACATAACTCAAACGTTTTGGGGTCACTTCTCTCTTGATTTTTTTTAATCCTGACTTTTCAAATAACTGGGTTATGATCACTGCCCCAATCAGCTCCAGGGTAACTTTAGCATTGTAAAAAAGCATTTCGAAATCATCTATTTATTGTTATGTAATCAATCATATTTTTTACTTTTTACTTTTGACCAACAAAACACTATTTGACACTGCCCAGAAACTTTCTAAAATTTTAGACATTACCTTGTTCAATAGTATATCTGCTCCTCGTTCTTGTGAATAATCTCCAGAGTAGATAAATTTGCCATCTTCAAAGGTAATGACATTCTGATATCTTCCACCGAGTTTCGCTCAAACATAGAATGTTGAGATTCATTCTTTTCATTTCTTGTTTAACATTTTCAAATTTTTCCGTTTATTACAACTTTCTAACGTTCCATGCTGCTACAGTAAAGGTGTATTCAACTTGTCACTATCATGTTTTTTGATTTGGTTTGTGTTTGTCGATGGTTTTCTTGGCAAAAGTTGTGGAAAGTAGGTTGCAATTAATTGCTGTCAACTTTTCTACTTTTATATGAGATGGATCTAGATAATTGAAACTATATTAGATAAATAAATGAGTCAAACAAATAAATAAAAGGGATAAATCGATATATAGTATTTGAAGTTAATGTATAATAATTGAAATTAAAAATAATCCAGAAATAATAATGCATGAAAATCAAAATAATAATTATATGAGAATATAAGCCAATATAATTATTATAAAATGAGCAAGATTGAACATACATGGATATTCAAGAAAATGATAATATTGAAAAATTAAAAAATAAATAATTAAACATTAATTTATTGTAATATACATACAATTTAAACTATGAAAATAAAAATACATAAGATAATATTAATAATAATGTTTTTACAGAACTTCCAATTATCTAATATTTAAGAATTAAAAGATTCTATTAATAAACAGAATAAAAAAAATAAAATAAATGTATTATAAAAATAAGTCACAGTCAGTGTTAAAACAATATTAAAACAAACAAAATTCAAAATTAAATACTAATATTTTTAAAATAATAAACCGTTAAAACGATAAAACGATACAATACGGTACATAAATTATATAAAAATAAATATAAAAAAATATACGAATATTTATAGAGTAAAGTATGAGAAATTAATTTAAATTTAAAATAAAGTTATTTTATAAAAAAATAAACTTCTCCAGAAATGTCTAAATAGCGATATTTAGCAAAACAGCTTCAAATCACAACCAATTATGCTATATATATATTATATTATAACAATATATTATATAATATAATATATTATATATATAATTATAATATAATAATTTATTTTCTATATAAATATATATGTGCACATTATACAGTCGCTAGGCAACAAACATTTAAGTTCTACTATTTAGTTTATATATAAGTTGCACTGTACTTCACGCTGGGTGCACTGACTTTAAGCGCGTCTCCAGGTGGTGGATAGGGGAAAGTCCTAGGCATGGAGACCTTCTAGAATTGCACCGAATAATACGGAATAAGGTGCCGTGAACCAACTGTACCAGAAGAAAGAAGACAAAGTTGGAAAAGCGGAAGATCTCAGGAGAACGGCTCCAACAGCGGGTTATCTTCTATTCTATATCCACTGCCTTGTGGAACAGGGACTTTTGACCCAAAGGCTAGGTGCACTACTTACAACAGTGCTTTCTTGGGCACGAGATAAACTGCAACCGCGCTGCCTTGTGTGCTTCCAGCATATGTTCCAGCAGAGAACAGATGTCAACCCTTCGCCTTTCCTGCATGTCGACGATTTCCATGGAGCGTCCAGTAAGCGATCAAGTATTTAAAGTGCTAAATCTGATATTCCAAGAATGGACGCCCGATTTTTTGCAATATCCCTCTTTTGTTGCGTACTTCCTGAATATTTTCACTCCTTGATCATTTAAGATCTTCCGAGGAATAAGGGATCTTTTCTTTTTTGTGATGACATGGAAGATATTTGGGTCAAAAAGATTTATATCTGGAATTATTACCCAATTTTTAACGACAACCATCAGTTATAAGCAGTGGGCCTAGCCTTTTTGCTGGAAGCACACAAAGCAGCGCGGTAATAAGAGAGCACTGTTGTAAGCAGTGCACTAGCCTAGCAAAGGAGCTTAGCAAAGGTCCATGTTCCACAAAGCAGTAGATTTAGAATATAAAATCATCCGCGGTTGGAGCCGTAATAACTTTGCAGAATGAAGTGAAGGATCACAGGAAGGATTACTTCGATCAGTTATTGAATGAAAAAAACCTTATTGGGGTAGACTTTGATGAACTTCCGGTGGAAGGACCGATTCAGGGTATCACAGCTGAGGATCTTACGGATGCGTTGAAGGCAATGAAAATAGGTAAAGCGGCTGGTCCATCTGGACTTACAAATGATATGATCAAGGCATCTGGTGGAGCAGGCTTCAGAGCCCTTTTACACATCTGTCGGAAAATGTTGAGTACAATGTCAGCAGTTGTGGCACAAACGATGCTCGAGAATTACCGGCTCACTGAGGTAAGAAACTAATTTCGTATGCCCCGCCTTCATCAACCCGCGACAACGGAGCCCAGATAATGATACGATTACCGAGATCGAAACTGTTACTTCATTTCAGTATTTGAGAGAAATGCGAATTGTACTGGAACAGCTGATGCCGCCGGTCGTGGACGCATACGTGCGGCGTGGGGCAGATGGCACCTCCTTTCCTCAGTACTGATGCGGCATAATGTTCCTCTACCGCTGCATTCAGAGCTATACAACACAGCTATACGTTCTGTTCTGATGTATGGTGCAGAGACGTGGCCGATGACAACAAAATTCGAGCAGCTTCATCAAACTGACATGAAGATGATTCGTTGGATGCAGCATGTTGACCTAAGGGACCATATCTATACAACCAAGATCCTGAACCGATTGGGACTGTGCACGTTGATGGATGCATGTCGTCGTCATCCCCTATGACGGTTTGGGCATGTGAAGCGAAGAGAAAACGATACAATAATTTCCGTTACTATAAACGGATGGAGACTATAAACGAGGATTGGATTGATATTAGTTGCACCGTAAGTGGATTAGCTGTTCGAAAATCTCCCAACAAGTATTAACGTTGAAGCAATGCTGGAAAATATGATCCCAGTTTATGAGCCTCAAGCAATCGTTCATACCAGTAAAGTTTGCTTTGCTAAACTTATAGTAAAATGAATCACAATAAAAACTCCACTGCGTGATCCCCGATCTTTTCGAACAAAACAAAATCCTGGAGAAAAAAATAAATTATCAGGATCATAAAGGGAGAGCCACGTTTCAATAACAGAAAATACATCTGGGTCGTAAACTGATAAAAATAAACTGAGATTGTTTCTTCTGGATACTACGCACATTTGCTAAGGCCACACAAATAAGACCTTTATTGTTTGTCTGAACAAAAAGGCTGGTTATTTTTAGAATTGGTGTTGACTGCTTAAAGTCGACGCCTCTCCTGTCTCATCAGAAAAGCTTGCTCTGTCTGCTTCCTAAAAAGGTAAGGGTTGATGAAAACATTTTTCGTAGCTGGAGATGAACAAAGAATCTTTGACGATGCATCAGATATTCAGCTGCTGACGAACTGTTTAGTGTGACGCAGATTCTGGAGTTCCCAATACGCGAGTTTTTGCAATTTGCGGCTTGACGGTGAGGTGGTTTTCGCAAAGAGATGAAACCACATCTTTGTTATTACTTCCAGTCTGAAGCTCCAAACCTGAGATAATTAAGTTTCGTGACCGGCGTTCTTCATCTTTTTTCTCCTGCTCCACTGTCCACAAGGCCCTAGTCATTATTTCAAGCATTGGAGGTTCATTGAGTTTGACCACTTGCTGTTGACACTCGAAAATGCTGGCGTCAAGTGTTGACATGGTTGAATGCAGTTCTTTCATGCATTCAGTTACGGAGTTTGACATACTTCTAACCGCAAATTCAAAACTATTACTTAACGCTTCTAGTCTGATTACGGTGGTTTCAAACAGTTTGCTCATTAGGCTTTCTGAATGAGCCAGTGTTTTGCGCAGGTTATCGTTAGATTTTTAAATTTTATGTTTTAGGTTAAGGTCAGACTTCCCTATTGTTTTTGCCAAATTTTTGCTGGAGATCTCTATGATCTTTTCAAAGTTTTCGTTTGACACAATTTAGCACGTTGGCATTAATGTATACTTCCATGGATCTAGCGCGTAAAACATTGAAATTAACTGACAAATTTGAATAAAAGCGTTTACGTAGTTATTTCTTATTTTATTATATGCTTCCACGATGTTTAAAATTTTTAGAAATTTATTATATAATCAATTAAATAAACCAATCAATCTTGAAAAGTTATGTCCTAACATTACATTTTTGAAATAAAAAATCTTTATTCAATTTATATATTTATGTAAAACACTAATTTTTTCCTGGAACTTTGAAAAAAAGATTTAAATTATTTAGCGTTATAAATTAATATAAATTCAATTTTGCATCTATTTACGTCGTATTCGATACTCCCCATTTACATCACTGTCTCGAATTTTGTTTGCAATGAGGCACTAATGTAAAATTTTTCCCTTTTTTAATTTAATTAACTTTTGGCTTAACTTAAAGTCTAAACTAAAGTACCTCTGAGAGTCTGAAAAACATTTCGCGTACCATTGCTCTGATTTTTTCAACAAAATTTAGTGCGGTATCGTGTCCAAATAAACGGAGAAGACAATCAATCAGTTTGTAAAGTGCTATTTCCGCGATGTCCAACAGTGCTCTTTAAGGAATTTTGCAAACAGATGTGTCTTGAGATCCGCTCCGAACTTTGTAAGTGATGGGGAAGTAGTCAGAAAAGGAGATAGAGAGTTCCGGAGAAAAGTGCCAAAAAATTAAATGCAGATTTACCAAAAGAGTGTTTAAAACTAGTTAAGAAGAAGCGAGAACAAGAAGACGATCGTAAACCGGGGCGTTTAGGTTTAATTAATATATCACTTAAAAAATAATTTAGATTGAGATTTGTACATAATGTCGTAAATGTGTAAATTTTAAAAATTATTCTTTTATAGATAGCCTGTGCAAGAGTACAAGATATAGAGATAAATGAGTAAAGAAAGAGGCTTGAGCAATTAACGAGCAGCAGAGTTAAAAGCTTTACTTAAAGGATAGAGTGAAGAATCAGGAAGATCATAGTAGTGCGAGTTATAATAATCAATCCTAGATAAAATTAAACAAGTAACAAGGAGAAGAGTAGAATTGTCAAGGAAAGGCAAAAGTTTTTTTTTTTACTAAGAAGAAAGTTAGAACTTCTAGCAACACTATAAATCTGAAAAGAAAGAGACATGCTAGAATTAAAGATAAAGTCCAGATTACAAAACTTGTGAGAAACATTGGGAGTTTTAGAATCAGGTAAGATAATAGAAGAAATAGTAAGTAATAGAGCATTTAGATTTCTTAATTCTTTCTATCCAATTTAAACTTTAACAAGATTTTGTTGATGGCATAGAAGATTGCATTTGCACTTGATAAATTACTTGACAATGCACTTGCATTGGCACTTGATAAATTACATTATTATTAAAGTATCTGCAAGTACATATGCTCAATGTTATAAATAACTGATTTCCTATATATGTATATTCTAGATACATGGATGTGTTTTAATTCTTTAGTTTCAACATTTAAAAAAATTAATAAGAATTTTGTAAAAGTAATAATTTGCTTATACTTACATAAACCTACATTGAAATTAATAACATATTAAACTGGTATTAGATTATCAGGCAATATGATTAAAACTTTAACGAACATTAAAAATAAAGGCCTGAGCTTTGAATTTAGTAATTTATGTTGACAGAAAATAAGCTTACAACGGGCTGTTGTTAAAAATTTTTGATTCACAATTTACCTGATAAACTGTTTAATATGATTAAAATAAAATCAAAATTATCAAATTTATTATTGAATCTATTAAGTGATGAGTTTGGCGACTTGATTTTATTTTCAAACCTTATTTTGTATTTACAAGGCTCAGCCGTTGTTTAAATGAACATATATCGGGGCAAATGACGATTTTAAATTTTAGCAGTTTTTAACAATCAAACGTAACACCATAAAATTGTCTTTTGAATTTAAACCTGTATTGAACTTTAAAAAGTCAGGAAAATCGTTATAAAACTCAAATTATGTAAATTTATTAAAAAAAACGCGTGAGATTTCATTCTTCTGAGGCAACTTTCAGGAGTCTTCTTTCAAACATTAGCAAATTATCTTTATTCTTCGTTTCCATATGCATGATGGAGCATTTTTTCGACATTAAACTTCATCTGCCAGTCTACCGCTCATTGATAAATTCTTATCTGGTCCTATTTTAATTTTTCCACTTCTTCATCATTACATATTACATCGCAGAGTTTGGTAACATCAGCAAATTTAACAGTCATTGAAAAAACTCCACTATCGATATTGTTAATAAAAATACTAAGCAATAGTAGTCTTAAAACTGAGCCTTAAGGTACACCGCTCTTGATTGACATTTATCAAATTTGAATAGGTCCTTTTGATGCCCACTTTCTGTCTTCTATGTGCCAGTCAGTTGGATAACCAAATAAATCTCCTTTTGTCGCTTCAGCTTCCAATTTTGTGCTTAATCGCTTGTGCGGCACTATGTATAGAATAACAAATGGACACATGATCACAAATGTACTGAATTACTATTGGTTCTGCTTTATGAAAGAAGTGAAAAACAAATAATTAATTTTCCTGTTTTTGAAAACGAAATGAATAATGGTCAAAACCGTTATTTGACGAAAATACAACTGAAATGGTATAAAAGATATCAAACGTAGAGTGGATGGTGCACAACCTGGATATTTGAAAAAATGTTCATGTAAATTAACAAAATCATTGAAAATAATTTTCAAAACATCCTTATAGAATGACCAGCTGCCAAAATTGTAGGAAACGAGGCCAACGGCGATAACTTTTAAACGTACGTTTTCTCTTACTTTCTCTATTTGAAGATCTAATTATTTTAGTTTAAACTTCTTTCAAAACTTGCCTAATAATATTCATCAATTAGTTTCTCTTTCAGCTGAAGCGCCGTAAATCTGCAGAAGAAGTTTCTCTTTCAGTATTAGGTTCTGAAAATGGCATTATGCCGAAACAACGGTTTAGGCCTGTTAAAATTGTTCAAGTAGACGAAAAATTTTTCAAAAAATTCTAAATAACAATAACAATATTTTATTTGGCCACAAAATTTGATGAAAAAATCAAGGGCACGGGATGGCTGTGAGGAGTCTTTGAGACTTATCGAGCACAGCCACCTTTTCAAAATATGATATATAATTGTCAGTTTTATATACATATAATTTATTTTATTTATTTATTTATTTATTTGACCCAACTGACCAGAGGGCATTAACATGCCGCTTACCCAGTCAGGGAAAAAATCAACAATTCTTCAAATATAATAAACGTCAGTCAGTGAAAAAAAAAAAAAAAAAAAGAAAATTCAATAACTAATTAATCGTAACAGTGAAGCAGAAATATAATGAAAACAACCAAAATAATGAAATAACTACCAGTCACATCGTCAATATCATTCAGCTAATCATTAATGAGCAAAGTTAAAAAATAACAAGTATGGTCAAGGTCATAAACAGTGAATTAAATATGAACAGCTAAAAATATATATACATACACACAAACACACACAAACACATATATACAGCATTTAATTCCAATAGAACACAACACGAGATTCCTATAATACAGTGTAAAAAGACAAGTTGAACAATATATGGAAAGCATAATTGTGTTAAGTGTTTGAAATATTATATAATTTATAATATATCAAAGAGTAAAAGAAAAATGTATCTCGAAAAAAAAAGAAATGACAGGTTTTGCATAATATGGAGTTGGAATAATATGAAGTTATTAAGTTATTTAATCTGCAAAAAATTTCTAAGGTCAACAGTAAGTAGTTTCGTTTTAAAAATGGCATATGAAGGTGAGGAAACTACTTCCTCAGGCAGTGCATTCCAAATTTTAACTATCCTGTTGCAAAAAAAGTATTTTGTTGTGTTGTTATTAGAATTGGATTCGTGCAGTCTACGGTGATGACCTCGAGTTGATAGATATGACGACGGGGTAAATTGATCAATCAGATCGGAGTTGATGATGTTGTTCAATATTTTGAATAAAAAACACAGGTCGAAAATCAATCTACGATGTTCTAACGTTTGCAAGCCAACTGAGTTTAAACGTGATAGGTATGGAAGATGGCGAATTGAGGGGATGGCTTTAGTAAATCTTCTCTGAACACTTTCGATCTTCATCAGCTGATATCGATAATGAGGATTCCAGACAGGAGAACAATATTCCAACAAGGGACGAGCATAGGTACAATAAGCTTTAATTAGTAGGTTTTTGTCTCTTGATGTAAAACATTTAATTATAAGCCGAGCTCGTGTTGATGCCTTGTGCGTGATGTCATTGATATGCCGATTGAAGTTAAGTTGTTTGTCAATTATTACGCCAAGATCTTTAAAACACTCATTAGGTGTTAAAACATGGTGATCAATCGTGTATTGATTTGTAACTGTAGTATTTCTTGATGGAATGAAGGAACAAGTTGAGCATTTGTTAGGGGACAGTGGCAGTTGCCATTTGTTACTCCATGATACGATATTGTTGATTGACCGTTGAAGTTGAATAGAGTTAGATGATCGGGCGTATAATTTGATGTCGTCCGCAAAAAGCAGCATAGAAACAGGGCATGATGAAATGCAGTCATCTATATCGTTGACGAATATGAGAAAAAGACTTGGCCCAAGGACACTTCCTTGGGGAACACCACTGGTTACAGCTGTAGAACTAGATGATTTGTTAAGAATTTGAACAAATTGAGATCGCTCATGTAAAAAATCAGTCAACCAGCTACATAATTTGCCAGTTACACCGTAAGCCTGTAATTTGCAAATCAACTTGGCATGTGAAACTGAGTCGAATGCTTTTTGAAAATCGAGATAAACTGTATCGCAACTTTCTTTTGTTTGACGGATCGACAAAGAATCACTAACAAATTTGATGATGTTAGAGGAAGTTGATCTGGCAGGCAAAAATCCATGTTGAAAGAAAGATATTAAATTATTGTCTAACAAATAATTTCGGAGACTGCCGTTAATAATTTTTTCCATGACTCTACAACACGAACATGTTAGCGATATAGGTCTGTAGTTGCTGGGGTAATTAGTTGGTCCTTTTTTGTGAATAGGAGTAACGATAGCAGTCTTCCATATAGTGGGTAGAAGCCCATTCTTAAAGGATGTATCAAAAATATGACACAGAGGAACAGCTAAACTTGAAGCACACCTTTTGAGAAGGATATTGGGAATATTATCAGGACCAGATGAGTGTGAATTTTTCAAACTGCGTAGAGCTAGATAAACTGAATGAGGAGTAAAACAGATTTCGTCAATTGTTTTTGTAGTACGGGAAGGTAGATTACTAGGTATTCCGTCATCAATTGTGAATACTGACGCAAAATAACTATTGAAGGTGTTTGCCATAACTATCGGGTCACTGGATGTATTGTTATTATCAATTTTTAAGCTGGAAACTTGAGGTTTGGAAAATAATCTGTTATTAATATATTGATAAAAACTTCTAACATTTCCTTTCGACAATAGGTTGTTTTCTCTAGTCATGCGATAAATATTTGCTAAATTGGAACATTTTTTAGACGTAGATAGGTAGAGATCTCTGTCCTCTGAATTTGAACTTCGTTTCCATTTTTTCCAAAAATGGAGTTTGACTTGGTATGATTGACGAAGTGGCTTGGGTACTGAACGCTTGGGCGGTAAACTATTCCGACCAATCAAAGGAACAAAGGTTGAAATGGCATGGTTGATTATTTGTTCGAATATATTCCAACAGGCATTAACATCAAAACAATATTGAAAATGGCAATCCCAATCTATTGTTGACAAATAATCATTCAGGACAGTGTAGTTTGCTCTGCTGAAATCGTAAAAAAATGTTCTGTTGTGGGGATTGTTGTTGGTCAAATTGTTGCTAAAACAGTTGATTGTAAAATTAACACAGCAATGATCACTTGAAGCAAATGGGCAGGAAACTTCCAGTTCGGCTAGTAAGCTGGCATCGTCAGAAAGAACCAGGTCCAAAATGTTCTGACCTCGTGTAGGTTGGTCCACCAGTTGATGCAGGCCAAGATCGTTAAAAAGTTCGATGAAACAATTATAGATTGCGTTATCTGGCGATGAATAGTTATTCCAATCAATAAGCGGTAGGTTGAAATCGCCCAGTAGGCAGTTAACATTACCGTTGCATAGCTCCCTGATGCATTGTGTGCTATCAATGGCATAGTCGACAGCCAAATTGTCAAATCCACCACTGCGGTAGTAGGAGATGAAACGATATGTTGTCGAATTGTTTCATATATATATAATTGTCATATATATAATTGTCAGTTTCATATATATATATATATATACATACATACATACATACATATACATACATACATATACATACATACATATACATACATACATATACATACATATACATACATACATATACATACATACACACATGTACATACACACACATATACTTACAAGATAACGGACAAGTACAGTCATATATTAAAACAAATAAGCCGCAATCTTAGTAACAAATTATCAGTGTTCATAAAAATATATACTTGCAAGATTAACACATATACATGTCAAGTACATACAAGTACAGCCAGTACAGTATAGAACATACTATATACATCGTAATCTTACTAACAATGTTCAATTCATCTATATATAACAAACACACAAACATTCTTATCTGAATTCATTGTCAAAATAAAATAGTTTTTTTAATAATGTCTACAAATCATTAAACTTATTATGCAAAAACCAAGATAAACATACAGCATGTACGTACACAACACATGAATGCACATCTATATGTCATTACCAAAATATACAGTACAGTAAAAAATTTAACAAAAATACTATTATATATATATATATATATATATATACATATATAAATATATATATATATAAAATAAATATTGCAGTTGCCAAGGTAATTTTGTGGATGTTTATTTTGGTTCGCTTAAAAATTGATTCTTCGTTAGTTCATTACATATATGATTTTGGCATAATTGATTACTTTTTTAATTTAAACCATACGAAAAATGTTATAATATATTGAAATATTAAAGTGGAAATATACTGCAAGGGAAGTCAATTCACATTTTCTTTAGTAATTTTGTTCATTAATTTGAAAATTGTTTTCAACAACTCAGTTAGCCAATTTTATCAATTCTACTGTTTTATGTTCTGATGAAACAAAACAAAACTTATGTTGATGAGATTTATAATATCTAGATTCTAAACCAATTATAAGTCGTAAACGTTAACCAGTGGTGTGTCGAGGGTGACATACGCCCGAAGCTGCAAGGCCTGTCGGCCAACCCTCCACGTATCGATAATGTTTATAAACTTCATTAAAACATTAACAGTAAACAATAAAAACATGTTTATTAATTAAACATCTTGAATAAATTTAATGAACAATCTGAAAGACTTTTGTGATTTGGCGATTTAGTACGAATGCGTTGAAAATATTGTTATTAAATAACTTTTCGGATGAAGTAATAATAAATAATTCAGCGTAGAAAGTGTTTCATATCTTTTGGCGCCCCTAGGCTCCAACACACGTAAATGGCCCTTTTTTCCGCAATTCCAGCATGTTGGTATGTCTTTGTCTATTGCAAAACCATCGTATAAGGCCACTTTTTTGCAATTCCAACATTTTGGTGGTTTGTAGTCTGACAATCATTTTCTTCGTGTCTTGCCATCTTTTGTTTTTTTTTCTACACAAACTTTGCCGATTTCAACGTCATATACTGCTTTAGGTGTTTTTATCTTTGAGATTGTAAGGTCATATCTCATATCTGAGCTTGGATAAACGATTTTGTTGCCGTTCTGTTTCTGAATTTCGAGATACCTATTTGGTGCAGCAGCAGAGTCAATCTGTCTATGTTGTTGAGCAGTTTTCCTGATTTCCGCATGCTGTAGTCGAGCTGTGTCACGTAGAGATGTTTTGTATATTTGTTTCTATAGTGGATCTAGCGCGTCACTTTGGATCTCGAAGTTGTCACAGTCTTTGACACTAATCGATTGTAATACCTCAAACATGTTTCAAATCTATTCTGCAGGCCCGATAAAAGATGCTCAAGCTATCTCTTGCGTTTTAATAAGGTGTATTATTGATTTGAACAGTTAGTTAGAATAGAATCGTTTGAAGCTTAACCCAGACAAGACGGAGTTGATATGGTTTGGTCCTATGAAGGCTTTATCTGCACCAGGGATGTATGACTTTCGATATATTGGATAATAGGTTGATCTCAGCTGACAAGGTCAAATCTTGGTGGTGATGTTTGACAGCGCTTTGGCGATGTTGCCTCAGGTCGCGAAACTCAATGCTTTCTTCAGCTATGAAGATTGTATCTGGTCAAGAAATGTCTTCCAGTTGATATTTTTACTAGAATGGTGGTGACTTTTGAACTGTTTAGATTAGACTATTACAATTCGTTGCTGTATGGTGCTGGTGTAGGGATAGTAAATAAAGTTCAACGAATCCAGAATGCTGCCGCCAGATTGGTCATTGACGTGATCGCATTACAAAATGGTTGGAAAGTTTCCACTGGCTGCCGATCAGAAAACGGATAAGATTCAAGATGGCCGTGGTGGCTCATGGTTGCGTACATGGTGGTGGCTCAGAATATCAGAAGAAGGTTTTTCGTAAAAGAACTGAAGTTGATGTGGGACATGCATTGCGTTCGGTTTTGTCAGAAATGATGGTAATTTTTAGGACCAGGACAAAACTGGGTGATAGATGTGTGCAGGTTGTATGCCCAAGGTATGGAATAATCTTCCAACAAAATTGAAGCAAATTGTTTCAGAAAAAGATTTCAGAAGTGAGTTAAAAATTTATTTGTTCAACAAAGCATTTAATCACAGTACTATCCTCAAGGAATGTCACTAGAGTGAATAGCATTATATATATATATATATATATATATATTGTCGGAGATTTTAAATAAATGATAAGGAGATTTTTAAATGATGACAAAGTCCCACGTTGGGCGCTAATTGTCGGAAAATTTATAAATGAAAACAATTAAAACAACTGGTGGTGTGAGGTAATCTCCTCTATCTTTCTCAGGGAATTTTTTTATGGTCCGACAATAATTTATGTGTATATTTTTAACGTGAGTTCGACCAGTCCTGTGTGGCACTGGGCTTTTTCGAATTATATGATTTTACTGAGTAACACACGAACGCGTAAAAATATTCGATAACAATTTTATTAATCGACGGAAGTAAATAAAAGGAATTGAACTAATGAACTCTATAATAATGTAAATGTCAATGAACAAACTGGAATACAGGAATTAGAACTTCTTCTTGTTGGGTCTTCGACTTGGGATATGTTTCTTGCCGTTTAATCGAACAACCTCGACGTGTGTATCCGATGGTGATGTCGATACAACTCCAAGAAATAAATAAAAATGAATGCGAAAAAAATCACAAAAATCGGAGCCTATGGAAATTCCAAGCTGCGTGTGAAACTATACTAATGAGTATAGAATCCAGCAAAGAACCCTAGGTCCACAAATAGCACAAGAAACAAAAGAAGGAGGCGGATTCGTTTTCACAGAACCCAAGGCCTGTTTTCACTGGGCCGTCGAGTCTGATCGGCTTTCGCACGACCAAGAGCCTGTTTTCACTGGGCCTGTCTGTCAGTCGGTCGGCTTTCGCACAACCCTGGCCTGTTTTCACTGGGCCGTCAAGTCTGATCGGCTTTCGCACGACCAAGGGCCTGTTTTCACTGGGCCTGTCAGTCAGTCGGTCGGCTTTCGCACAACCCTGGCCTGTTTTCACTGGGCCGTCGAGTCTGATCGGCTTTCGCACGACCAACACAAAACAACAAGAGTCAGAACAACACTGGAAACATGCCAAAGCGTGCGAAACTATGCCAATGAGCATAGTCTCGTACCAAATCCACTTTTGAGAACTTAAGACGTTTCTGAAACTATGCCAATGAGCATAGAATCACGCATTAAGTCTCTTAGATACCAGAATAGGAACTGATTACTCGAAGCTGCCTAACTGGTGAACCCAAGGCTGACTCTTTTTGAGAACTTAAGACGTTTCTGAAACTATGCCAATGAGCATAGAATCACGCATTAAGTCTCTTAGGGACCAGAATAGGCACTGAATATTCGAAGCTGCCTCACTAGTCAACCCCCTTCTCTCAGTCTTTTCACACCCTTCCTTATCAAAGCAAAATTAGATTTTGTTTCGGGTGTTTTAAAAACATAAAAATTTCCAAGGTATGTCCAATTAATCAGAAAAAGTACTAATTAAATTTTAAAATAATTTGTAATAATTTATGACGTCATCTAAATTGCAAAACAAAAAAAAATCGTCGTCACCTATCGAGTAAATTAACTTGCACCATGCCCCCTATCGAGTGAATAAATTTCGCGTTGAAAATTTTGCAGTATTTTTAGTCAGTATTATTTCATAATTCTGACAATATATATATATATATATATATATATATATATATATATATATTACAATATTCTATAAATTATACCGAATGTTTGGCGTTAATATGTTTGTAGTTCGTTTTTTCAATTTTTCTCACTAAAGTTTTTTGGTGAACGTTTAATACAAGATGATGTCGTTATCTTGATTAATGGTACTAGGAAGGTTATTGTTGTGTAGTAATTTGCCTTTAACAATCTTTTCAATAGAATAAGTCTTATATCCATTGTTTACAAGCAGGTTAGTGACTCTTTTTAATTCGGCGTCGCGATTTTCAATATCGGAAGAGTGTGTGAATGCCCGGTTTACAAATGATTTTATTGTGCTGTCTTTAAATTGTTCATATATATATATATATATATAATGCTGGCCACATCAACAGATGATGGTGGGCGACATAATGCTGTTATGTTTTCATCCTTTCCTATGATCACTGAAGATGAATTGAAAAATATTATAATAAATTCCCCGTGTAAGACAAGTTCACAGGATGTCATTCCAACTCACATCTTAAAAAAGTATTTGAAATTTTTTATCAAATTTCTCACCAGCTTTGTTAATTGCTGCCTTCAATCAGGTGAATTTCCCTCCTCTTTCGTTTTGTTTTGTCTGGTTAGTTTTCGGCAATGGACGTCCAGAACTTATCGTCGTTATTGTTTTTAGACATGTCAGCAGCATTTGATTGTGTAAACCATGATGTTTAGCTGGCAAGACTACGTAACGATTATGGTATTACACACACAGCTCATAAACGGTTCAGGTCGTATTTGACAAACCGTACACAGCAGGTTTCGTTCAACAATTCAGTGTCTGATGTTGCCTAGGTAACAACAGGTGTGCCACAAGGCACAGTTCTGGGACCAATTCTCTTTAGTTTGTACACGGCAGATATAATCAAAATAATTTCCTCTCATGGATTCACTTGTCATGCGTTTGCCGACGACATTCTGGTTCTAGTCACTGGTCCTCCAAGTTCGTTTCGTGATGAGGTTGATAGATTTGTCCAGTGTTTGAAAGAGGTTGGATATTGGATGTCATCAAACTCGCTCAAGCTCAATAAATGTAAAACGCAGTTGCCACCGGTGGGTACGTGGCAGCAGTTGTCAAAACTAGATTTCTGTTCTGTTGAGATGGGAGATGTAAAATTTGCATAAAATTTGCATAAAATTTGGGAGTTTTTCTTGATAGCAATTTATCGATGAAAGACTACATTAAGAAGATATATACATCAAGTAATATTTATTTAAGAAACATATATCGAATCAGACATTCATTGGATAGATCGGCACTGGTGACGCTGATTCATGCTGATATAACATCGCGAATTGCGCTGATCGTATTTTTCACATTCTGTTAATATATGCTGAATAGATAGTTTTTTGTCGCAGGTTTCACAATTAAGGTGGCATTGTTTTGTTGAAGATCCAGGAATGTGTGATTGCTGAGTGTCCTATTTTTAATCTATTGATAACAGGCTGAAGATGACAATTTAAATAACTATTTTTTAACTTTTTGTTATTTACTGAAGGCATACTTAATTTTAAGAAATTTGATGTTTTATTTCACTCCTGCTGCCATGTTTCAACAACAAGGCTGTTTGTTAAATTTTTTAAATCACTGGACGGAATTGGAACTCTTTATAATGGCATCGAATGAGCTTGAGAAGCAACCAGATCTACCTTTTCATTTCCTTTAATTCCAATGTGGCTGGGGATCAACATTACAATTATTTTTTTGTTGCTATCCAGGATATTATGAATCTTATTTTGCATTTGAATTATTAATGAATTTAGAGGTTTGTATTGTTTCAGGGCTGATAGAGTAGACAAGGAATCCGAAAATATTATGAATTTATTTTTCTCTGAATTTAATACTAAAATTTTAAGCCATGTCTATAGCAAGGATCCCTGCGGTGTATATTGAAGCAGGTCCTGATAGGTGCATCGCAGGCCACCATTGCTGCAGACGTTGAATTTTTCCTTTTTGATCCATCCGTATATATTTGAATAAAGTTTAAATTGTTATTAATTTTTTCTTTAACTAAGGTATTTGCTAGTTTTACATCTTGGCCCATTCCTGTTATTGACGTATCAATTTCTGGGTGCTTTAGTAACCAAGGAGGAAATTCAAATTTTAATTCTTTCAGGGTCTTTATATTTTTAATGTCTTTAAATAATTCATAATTAATAATGCTCGTATAGTTGCTTGGAAAATTGTTATCAGATGCTTTTGGTCTGCTCCACATTTATTTTGGAATAACACTTTGATTAAATTGAGTTCTTTTAGGCATTTTCTTTTTGTTTCCAAAATATAGGGAATGAAATTAAATTTTGAGTCAAATATTATTCCTAAATATTTGTATTCTTGTAAGAACTCAAAATTATTTTCTTGAAAATTTAACTTCCAAAAAAATCCTCTTTTGTTTTCTTGAGAAAAGCATAGCTCTAGACTTTGATTCAGAAAATTTTATTCCATTTTCCAATGCCTAATTTTCAATGGATTTTAGCGTTCTGTTTATTTCATTCTGCATTTTTATCATGTCTTTATTTTTAAAAGTGATTGTGACATCATCCAAGTAAAAAAGGCAGATCATCTATGAATTCAACCGAATTGTTGGCATCAATCAATTTATAATTTTTCTTTACAATTTTCCTTACTAAAAAATTATTTTTTGTAATTAAAATCAAGGAACAAATCCAATCGAATCAGCTTTTTTTTACAAAATAAAAAACCAAACAAAATTAAAACCCAACAAAATTATATAAACAAAAGTAAATTGTTTTATTTAAATACATAAATTTAAGCCACGTGCTTTTTGGTTTAAATGGTCCAAAATCATGTCGTTGTCCACTTGGATAGATATTTTTTTCATTGCCCTTCAGTTCCAATTCATTGTTAACATTGTTAACAATGTTAAGTTAATCAATGTTCATAATACTCGGATGTACCGACTTCCAACTCTTGTGTTAACAAAGTTTTCGATTCATCACAACATAACGATTTTGGTATTTTTGTTAAATAATTCAACAAATTGTTTCCTGCTTATTTGTTTTTTTCATGGCAAAACTTTACTTTAGAACTTCAACGTAATCGAAATTTAAAAGTGAAAATGAGAGGACAAATAATGCATAAATATGTTTAAAAGTGAAATGCTATTAAGACTGTTATTTATTAGAACGTTGATATTAAGGTTTTAACGTAGAATACTGAAAAAGTATTAAAAAATTAATTAATCATAACATAACATCTCTTTAAATTTCATCAATTATTTAATAATTTTGTAGGGTTAACATAATAGTTTCGGTATTCTTTTAAAGACATAGTTTTTACATTGTAGGCATTCAAGTAAACTCACATGCTTGCATGGTTATGTGCGTAGGAATTAAAATAAACGTCCATGCAATTATATTTGCACGTATTTTAACATGTAATTTGACAAGTAGGCATTAAAATAAACTTCCATGCATTTTTTGCAAGTATTTTACCATGCTATTTAACGGATAGGCATTAAAATAAACACATAATTAATGATTGTTAAAAAAAATTATCAACGTAAATGCGGAATAATGATAACTTGACGATCGTTGAAAGCTACAACAATGGTGTTTGAAATATAGAGATCGTCGAAGTTAAAACATAGGTGTTTGTAATAAAAAGCGTCAAAGTTTACAGCATCGAGTTCAGAAGTAAGATTTTTGAAAGATCGAAACTTTCTGCAATAAAGAATGCCAGCAATAGAAAAACTCAATACAACTTATTTCAGAAAGGAATAACGACAACGAAATCTCGACGAGAAAGAAGCGAAAGAAATGTTGATAAACTGCTTAAGGGACGCTCTAATAACAGAAGAAATTGATCCCGGTGATAATTGTCACGCACGTGATGCACGTGTTAACTGCGATGCACATGTTAACGTAAAAAAAAGTAGTTATTGTGACGATGAGGTTTTAGAAAATATCGGAAAAGTTGGCAGTGACAAAGACATTGAAACTTTTGATTATGCAGTGAGACTACTACTCGGATTTTATTGCCTACAATTTGCCTGTTTTCACTGATAACAACGACAGCAGTAACAATAAAGGCAACAACAATTTTAATGAAACACTCACCAACAAGTCAACTTTTGATAATTTGGAAAAGACAAACAATTAGGGAGAGCATTTAAGTGAAGATGATTATAATGCTGGTGCTGATGGTGGAAATACTACTAGGATCTTGCTGGCAACAATAATTTTAAAGCAAAACACTCACCAATTGAGAAAAAGAAGATGCCAAGTGGAATCCCAAGTAGTTAGAAATATCGGAACAAGACTAATAACAAGATAATTGACGTGATCTACAGGACCTGTGATCACAAAAGACAACGGGCAAAATTGGAGGTAAACCATTTGGATAGTTTATTCCATATTCATCGCAATAAAGAAATAACGCCTGAAAGCAACAATTTGCCTGAGGTGATTTTTAAACAATTAACGAGCGAGTTTAAAATCTAAAATATATTCAATAAATTTAAATAACAAATAAATTTTAATAAGGGTCGTTAAAATTTTTTATAAAGTGTTTCTTAAATCTTTTATCTACTGTTTTGTTTTGTACGTTAACTGAAGGATTTTTTTAATTCTAATCAAATAAAATAATGTTAAAAATAGTTCTTACCAAAACCACCCATTTTTTTAAATATTAAAAAATTATTCAATAAAAAAATACTAATTATTACCAAAATTAGTTTACCTTGGTATATTACAAGAATTATCACAGCAATTATTGTGAAATATTTTTCAGAAAGATTAATGAAATATAAAGTTAGGAATTCACAAAATTTATTTTACAAAATTTATAATATCTGTAAAATAAATTATTTACAGAAATAAGAATACTTAAATGGACAAAAATATTTTCATCAGCAGCGTCGATTCCTCCATAGGAAACTATTTAATTAAGGTTGAAAATATTGAATTTTTACTTTTCATGTTTATTGATACTTAGACAAAATTAATTTTAAAATTTTAACTCAAACTTAGTAACCTATCCTCACATATGCTGTTTAATTATTTTAGAACAATTTGATTACAACTATTATAGTTGAGGAATTGAGTGAATATGATAGAATTTTTTTACGTTTAAGCAGCTTTTTTGAGCGCATTTTTTCTCTATTATTCAGCTATGACATATGCAGAACTGCTTACAAGAAATATTTTTTGAGAGGATGTGTTTTCGGTGAGTGCTTTTATAAGTACTAATTTTTCTCTTTATTAAGAAGCTAGGACTTACGCAAAACTGAGTACAAACAATATGTTGTTTCATTGAGTGTCTAATTTTATGAGTTTTAATTTTTTCTTTTTATTATGCAGCTATGACATTCGCAAAACTACTTACATACATATTTCAGATGGCTTTATTGAGTTTTTCTATTGCTTTACGTGCTTCCGTTGATGATCTGAATGTTTTTAGACAGAAGCTATGCCTTTGTTTGTGTCGATTACTCATTGCTTATACACAAGCTCCAATATTCATTTGGAGTATCTGGTGTTGTTTTTCAATGGATTGAGCCATATCTTTTTAGTCTTTAACAACGGGTTCTGTTCAGATCTAGCTTGAACCTGTTAAAACAGTGTTATATGGTGTCCCTCAGGGGTCGGTCCTTGTTTTTTTGTTTGTGTTGTACACTGCAGATGTTTTCAAAATCATCGACTGATATCATTGTAAACACCCCGCTTTTGCTGATGAATTCTTCGTTGTTTTAATGACCTGGTTTGTTGAAGGATAGACAAATTTGATTTGATGGTCAAAGAATGTTGTGATGAAATAAAAAATATTAAAATGATAGGTCGGAAGATATTGACATGGTAAGACATGTTGTTACGATTAGATGGAAGATTTGGTCACGACGAGATGGATTTTGTCATTATGAGGTGAAAAAACACTCATGATGATGTGGAAAATGAGATAAAGCTGATGATTCTGTCATAATTAGGTTTAGAATGTTATAATAAATTGGAAGATGTTGTTATTATGAGTTGAAAAATGTTGTCATGATGAGATGTAAATGTTGCTACAGCCAGGAACCAATGAAAACTACAATGTTAAATGTAGAAGGAGTAGGAGGATAACCATACATCATCAGTAGTATAGTGGATCTCTGAATTTTTCGCAACCCGATTGCAGTTGCAAACTGGCTTGGATCTCGTCTGGATCGATGAGCCAGTGTTGAAAAAGGGCAACAACAACAGCAGCAACAACAACAATGTTAAATGTAATTTAAAAAATTTGACATATCCCAATAATATTTTTTATGTCTGTTTTTAGATGTTGTAACAATGTTAATTTTTTAAGTATTTTTTAACGTATTTTTCGAGAAGTATGAAATTAAAATTTCTTAAATTTATTTTATTTTAACATTTTATATCATCACTTAGTTTTTCAAAGATAATCAAAACTTATTTACTAACATTTATGGAACGGGTGAAACAGATCATGGATTCAACAACTTTAGCAATCTTGAGGTTTGTCAACACAAAAATTTAAACACGGTTATAGTCAATTATATTATTATTATAATATTCTTTAATGTAGCAGACTTTACGTGACGTTTTCAAAAAAATTTTCGTTCTCCGTTTTTCTAACTTTGTTCATTTCTCATTTATTTTAAATGTTCATTGATATAACCAAAAAAATTGTATATAAAATACTACTTCAAGATATTGATAGCATTAAAATGATTTTATATAATTTATTTTATAAGTTTTCATTATTTAACTTCAGCATGTCAGCTTTCATGAATGTTTAAAGAAAATAGAAAATTGTCGGGTCATAATATATGACATTACATCAGAAAAGAAACAGTCACTAGAAGCATTATCTGTTCATAAATGTAAGTTTTTGTTGCCTCACTAAAAATAAAATTACTACCAATAATTTTGTTCGTTATTTATTTATTATTATTATTAAACAAAAAAATAATATATCGCCAATATTGTTCACTGCCCTTTGGCGAGCTTTTAAATTTGAGGCATCGGAGTAGTAGTCAGAGTAAGAAATTTTCAACAAAGTCTTACCTCTAATTACCATCTCTTAATTACATTTATTTACGTATAAAACCAAATGTTTTTTGCTGTAGATTTATCAATTAATAAAAATTTAAAATTTTTACATTATATTTCACCCTTTGTTCCGTAGACTCGATAACAACTTCATAACAACGTTAGTTACACACTGAACATTTTTTATTTTTTACAGAAATTAAACTGACCAATTCAGAGATTGATACTGCATGCAAGGCATGATAGATCAACAAAAATTAAAACGATGATAAACAATATAAAAATAAAAATGACAGAACTATAGGTAGTGCACTTTAGAATGTATAAAAAAGTTACAGGAGCATTCGCCCTATCAAATTTTCTCCCGTACGATGATTCGTCCGAACGATGGCAGATTCGCCCGATAAAGTTTTCACCTGATAAATAGATAATAGAAAATATTTCACCTGATTTGTTTTTACCTGACTTTGGGAGTTTGGTAGAATTTTTTTTTATATTATAAATAACGCATTTATTGGATAGAATTATTATAGTGGTTTAACGTTAATAACGTATCTGTTCAAAAGTTTTACCAAACAAGCACGGTCTCATCATTTATCAGTCGAGCCTTCACACATCCTACAGATCCAGAGGATAGAGTAACTGAACTCAAACGGATAACCAACATGCTAATTAACAATGGTTACAAAAGAACATTTATTGAAAAAATTATTGACAAAAAGATCGTGATGTAACAATAAAAGTGACAATGATAAAACAACAAATGACATAATACTTTATTACAAAAATACGATGTGAACAGCTTATAAGACCGATGAGAAAATAATAAAAAGAATTGTAAACCGTAATGTAAAAACTATCAATGAAAATGATAAATTGAAATTTAGGATTTATTACACGAACAACAAAACCTCATCCTTTGTTCTTAAAAATAATTGCAATACTAAACCAGAATCGAAATGAAGAGCAATCATCTAGTCCTATATTCTTTTGATTGCAAAACACAGAATATATAGATTTACTACTACGACACTACGACTTTATCAAGAAGGTTAATAATGCATACACAAAATGGTGCAATAAAAAATCATCTAATGCGGTGATATTTCTTAATAACTATATATATATATATATATATATATATATATATATATATATATGCAAATTTCATTGAAATTGTTTGCCCATTTTGCATTAATTAACTTCTTTATAAGACATTCAACGAGGCGGTATTGTTTGAGTTCATATTTATCTAAAACTGGAATAAAGCTAACAGCGCTGTTTCGGCGATAAGAAAGTCATCATAAATCAATCGCTCATCCCTGACCTTATTTCAGAATCCCATAAAAATAGAGGTAACTATAATAGTAAAATACTCGACAAAGAACTTATAAATGCTGCCAAGCAACTTAAATCAAACAACAATATAACCATTCGAAAAGCCGACAAGTCAGCGTTATATGTTTTGATGAACACACCCGAATATCTCCAAAAATTAAACCAACTTCTTTCCGATTCCACAAAATTTAAAAAGATCTCAAAAAACCCCGTCGATGATATCAAAAAACAGCTCAACACCATAATTAACCGCATCAATAATAATAGTTCAATAAAATTCAATAAACTCATTGGTGATTTCTCTCCCGGTTACATCTATGGTAACGTAAAGACACATAAACCCGACAATCCCTTACGCCCTATAATTAGTCAATGCCCAACTCCCACTTATCACATCGCAAAACAGCTCAACACCATTCTCACACCATATGTACCTGACAATTATTGTGTCAAAAGATCAACTGATGTCATCAAATTGTTGAAAGCAAATCGAGATTCGGGAACGATGGCTTCATATGACGTCGAATCTCTTTTCACAAACGTGCCGGTTGATACTACAATACAATACATACTTGATCGAGTATATCGCGATGATACAACTCCATGTTTGGATATTAGAGAAGAGGACCTAAAACGTTTGTTAGAAATATGCACGAAGCAGTCACCGTTTGTATGCCCCGCTGGACACATGTACGTGCAAACCGATGGCGTAGCTATGGGGTCTCCACTGGGAGTCTTGTTCGCAAATTTTTATATGGGAACAATTGAATACAAAATCTTCAAGCGTTATCGTAAACCTCTCGTATATTGTAGATATGTCGATGATATATTTGTCATAACCAAATTTGTCATAACCAAATTTATTCAGCTGTGTCATAACACAGCTGAATAAATTGTTTCACCTTAACTCATGTTTAAAATTTACTGTGGAAAAAAGTAATGACAATAAATTGACCTATCTTGATATTTTAATTGATCAGTTAACACCCAACACATTTCGCACATCTGTTTACGTCAAACCAACCAACAACGGGATATGCATGAAAGGAAATAGCGATTGTCCAGATCGGTATAAGAATAGTGTGATAATATCGTATGTCAGACGGGCATATTCACACAGCTCTGAACCACTTGAATTTCGTAAAGAAATCGATAAAATAAAACAATTCCTTGTCAACAATAATTTTAACAATTCAACAATAGATAAAATAATGACCAATGAAATTAATCAAAATAATAATATTAAGGTAAATGATAACAATGGAAATGTTAAAAACAACTCAAGTTATAATCACAATGTAACCGACAATGATAACCACGTTTCTATCGATCATAACAGCCATAACAACACAAGCAACACTGACAACAACACAAGAAACAACACAAACAACAATGACGACAATATAAGTGATAATAACACGAACAATAATGATAGACGTATTATCAATGATCATGATAATGATAACATAAATAACAACGAAAACAATGGTAACCATGTTACTATTGCACAAGTCATTGTCGATAACCTAATCAACAACGACAACCATGTTATTTCCAATAATCTTGTCAGTAATGTAAACAACTCAAACAACGACGTTGTTGCTGATCATGTCGGTGACAATGATGCAAACTCTATTACCAACTCCAACAACAATAACAGCGACAATAACGATGACCATGTGGATCATGACAATGATAACAACACAATCAATGACAACCTCGTTATCGCAAACTCCATTCATAACAATAACAACAACTCAAACAACAATACCGACAGTGCAAAATTAACTTTATTTTATCGTAACTTAATGAGCTCTTCGTATAAAGAAGACGAATATATAATTAGAAAAATCATTA